GTCTGGATTTGTCAATCATGCTGCATCTCTGTATTACTGCAATCTAAACAATTGCTACTTTTGGTTCTTACCCAACAAAAAGCTCTTTATAAGGGACTCTTTGGAAATCTATTTTGGCTCAAAGAAAAACATTGGTTGAACTAAGTATAACAAATTGACTACTGTTAAGAAAGTAAAATGCTATTTTTTCCGGAGTTTAGAATGGGAAAGTGGTATAAACAATTTTCTTCTTTGAAATGTAAAAAAAGAAAAAAAAAAAAAAGAACTCAAGCCAAAAATTGGAATGCTTTTCTTAAGAGAAAGTTTTTCTGTTTAATTTACTTTTGCTCCCCCAGCCCCGACTTCCCAACTCATCCTTAGACAATAAAGAGGCACAGGCCAGGGGAAGTAAAGAGCTATAGGAGAGGAGCGCAATTCTGGTAGTTAAGGCTCTAGTCTCAGCCTTTTTAATCACTGCCAGCCAACCACCTGCTGCTTCGATAGATCTGTAGGAGATGATGGAAGTAGGAAAAAAAAAGAAACTGCTAAGTAGTTTTCTATATATGCCATTCTTTTCCAATTCAAAATCCTAAAGCTGAGTAATAACCCTTAGCGAAGTTACATCTAGTACTAAATGTACAGTATGCCCAAAACTGAGTAATAATATCAGGCATCATTTATTGAATGCTTAATTACTATGTGACAAGCGTTGTACTAATCACTTCACTTACAGTATTGTAAGTCCACAACTTATGAACAAGTTCCATTCTGGGAAAATGTTTATAAGTCAGATTCATTCGTAAGTCTGACAAAGTCTTACACACTTTTGGCATAAATATACAATGTAAAGCATAAAAAATCAAACACACCTTGGAGAACACGAGAATACATACTACACCTGAAGACTCAGAGGTCTAGTTGTTGACTGGGGTCATGAAAGCTGTTCAAAAGCTGGAAACCAGAAGGACCTTACGCAATACCTGGGGAGACCCCCTGGAAGCCATTTTTCCCCTGACAGTACAGGCTGTGGTGGAGGAGCATGTGGAGCTCTGGAGAGGTCTGCACCAAGATTCCTGCTGCCTAAGCTGATGGTTGGGGAGAGGACACTAAGTGGTTGCGGGGTCCCAATGCGCTGGGAGGCTGGAGAGAAAAAGCTACAGAAAATAGCTTTTGCCCCAGATGTCTCACTTGAGATGTTAGTGAGAATTGCCTCCTTGGTATTCTATAGCCATGATGAGGAGGAGGCCAAGGAGAGAAAACAAAGAGACTGAGAAAAAGCAGCTGCTTTTGCTGCAGCGACAAGAGAAACAGACCCTAAGTCTGATTCTTGGGGCCCCAAGAAGAACTCGATGGCTGCATTCATCTGCTACCACTGTTAAAAGCCAGGCCCCATCAAGAGGAACTGCCCTAAGATGCCCCCTGGGCCATGCCCTGAATGCAAATGTGACCACTGGAGATCGGTCTGCCCTCTGAAGCAGAGGTCCCAGAGCTCAGACCCATCCTACCAGTTAGTCCAACAGGAACGAGGGGGCCCAGGGCATACTCTGCTTTCTCCCTCTGGTCAGACTGTCATCTCCATGGAGGATCCCCAGGTAATCATGACTATAGAGGAAAAAGAAAACAGCCTGTTGCTAGACACAGGTGCAAGTCTCTCGGTCCTTCTTTTCAATTCTGGCCTTCCTTCCAGCCATCATACCTCAGTGAAAGGAGTCACTGATGAGGAGGTAGTCCGCTATTTTTCACAACCCTTAGGCTGTAACTACTTGTTAGATCTTTCTTGCACATCTCTGTCTTCCTGAGAAACCACTTTGAAGATACCACCATGTGTTACAGCAGCCACTGATATTTTCCTACTAACCTGTGCATAACTGTAATGTTTGTATTGTTCCTATGCTGTTTCGTAAATGGATATATGTTTATTACTATGTGTTTCCTACAACAACCATTGAGGATAGTCAATGAATATTCAGTTGGTCACTCATGTATAGTTCTATTTATTTTCTTTAGAAACCACTTTGAAGATACCAAAGTATAGTACAACAACCATTGATAATAACTTACTACTTTTGTTTGTAACTCACTATTATTTGTCTGTTTTCCTGAGAAACTATCTTGTAGATAACAATATGTAAAACAACCATTGATAATTTCCTACCACTTTGTCTGTAATTCGGTAAGCTCCCCTATTACTATGTTATCCTTCTTTTACTCTTTAAAATTAAATAAAAAATCAAACACACACACAAATACTGTACACTATTGCACAGCAGCACAACTGTCACAGCATCTGGCAGACACGTGAGCTACTGTCATGTTTGTTCCCGTCTATCAATGTTCATAATGCAAGGCCCGCTGTTGGCTGTGAAAGTTTGCAAGTTAAATGTCTGGAAGTCTGGGACTTACTGTACTTCAACAACTTGACTCTAATAAGTTTTTTGTTTTTTGTTTTGTTTGCTTTTTGAGGTACTGGGGATCAAACCCAGGGCCTTGTACATGCTAGGAAAGTGCTGTCCCCCTGACAAATTGTTATATAGTCCTACAGCATTTTGATTTCTGCTTCATAATATAATTACAACTGTATTAGAACAAAAACCTCTACATAATTAATTTTGTAGTTCTTTCATGTCTGGCTCACCTAATAGACTGAAAGCTCCATGAAGGTAAGGATCATCAATATCTGTCCCAGAACCTAGACCTTACCTTGTATATAGCAGATATATAATTAAAATTTATTAAATGAATAACTGCAAGTGTGAGTAACTGAACACATGAATAAGTTAATAGCCCCATTGAATAGGTTGTGCTGTCCCCTCTACCATAAACACACAGAAACAGATATTGAGACTTCAACCATAGTCAGCCTGAATCCAGTATAATATTTAAATGGCTAATGGGGAATGTAAAAAATCATCATGGTTCTGGAAAAAGATTTAAAGTTGCAACATATTCTAAGTGTAAACTCTTTCTTCCAAAGCACTGTATTTGCAAATTTGGCTCAGGATTGGGGAAGGCTGCTACCTTTCTTCTCTCAGGTGGAAAAGTATGGTTCCCCTAATCCTATAACTCCTAAGCTGTATCAGAGTATTGATTAGTGAAACATGACTGCCCAGAAAGCTGTTGCTAGGCTCTGTTGCCAGAAGTACTTTGATCTCTCACTCACCCTAGGAGGGGGAACCAGAAACTTTTTGTACAGATTAGCTCCTTTCAAGAACAAAAGTCCCTTTGGGGGTTTACTAATTCCCTCACCTCCCCTGGTGCCTGTGTTATTCTTGTGGCCTCGTGCTAGGACTTTGTTCCAGGGCGGTTTTCCAGTTCCAGAGATCGTCAAGCCCCTGCTGTCCCAACAGTGTTTAGTGCCATGCTTGATTAACTAGACAAGGTCAGACTTGCCTTTTACAGCTCCCCCAGAGATAGACCCTCTGCTAAGAAATCCCAGAAATGTTTTAATTCTCTAGAAGTAAGTAGATCAGAGCACCGTAGACCCTAGGAGCTCTGGCTTTTGCAACTTTTTCCCCTTGAAAGTGATGGCAGGCCAGGCATAGCAGCACATGCCTACTATCCCAGTACTCTGGGAAGCTGAGGCAGGAGGATCCCAAGTTTGAGCCAACATAGTGGCTGGGAAACTTAGTGACTCAGCAAGACCCCCTCTCAAAATAAAAAATAAAAATAAAGTACTGGGAATGTAGTACAGTGCAAAAACTCTCGGTTTAATCCCCAGTATGGGGTGGGGGTGAAGAAAGGGATGACAGTACTTCTCATCCCATTGAGAGATGTAAAATGCTTTATAGATACTGCTTTATATTTCCCATTTCCCCCAAAACTATTAGGATTAGGAAGAACTTAGACTCTGAAACTTAAATATAAATGAAGGAAGGAAATTGTGTTAAATCATCGAACAAATAATTAGCAACTATAGAATTATATGAAGACTAAAAAACTTCAGCTAAACATGTGAATAGCAGTAGCAGTAGCTCCCTGTTGGCCAGTCAGAAGTCTTGGACCTTTCACCCTCTAGTATATAGTGCTAAATGGATTAGTTATCAGAGCATTTTATTTTACAAAAGAGGATTTATTCTCTGCTTTGGGAATCTAAAATACCTAACCCAAGACCTACTGAGACCAGCAAGAAAGGAGAGCACACTGAATATTTCACTTTCAGTGTGTAATTGGGTCTGCAGACATAGTGCAGCCTCATCAGAGCCAGTCTTGAAAAGAAAGCTCTGTTGTTTCAGACAAATACTTTTTGTGTGGTTCTTAATTACTTTCCCATGGATTCCTTATTTTCTAGGTCTTATCTGTTCAGTTATTGTGCTAACACAAAATCCCATCAGGCATTGAAACAGCAGACAGAGGAGGGTGGCTGGGATCCCAAAAACCCATAGGTTGATGACCACTGTCTTTTTTTTTGTCTTTTTTTTTTTTTTTTTTTTGGTTTTTCTCCGGTACCGGGAACCGAACTCACGACCTTGCGCTTGCCAGGCAGGCGCTTCTGCCGCTGAGCTAAATCCCCAGCCCCGACCACTGTCTTAATATTAGGAACTTTTTAACCTGTCACTACCATGATGTAACCACTTACTAAATTTTATTTATTTATTTATTATTTACTTAATTATTTATTGTATATTCAATAAACGTTCTAAAAGTAAAGTTAGGCTTAGATTTCAGCTCAGTGCTATGCAGGGAGGGTGTCTTTGCCCACCTTTCTCGGCTCTCCTTTTCTTTTTTTTTTTTTTTTTGGTTTTTCTCCGGTACCGGGAACCGAACTCACGACCTTGCGCTTGCCAGGCAGGCGCTTCTGCCGCTGAGCTAAATCCCCAGCCCCTTCGGCTTTCCTTTTCTGACTATTGGATAGCACTTCCCATAGGAGATACTTGGGACAGCTCCATGGTTCCACTTAGACGCTTCTCAGAGGTATAAATCCATACAGAGCTTATGACCAGAGAATCCTCCGTTTCCTTCATGGTTTGCAGTTTTCAAAGAAGCCATTTTTTCCTCTGAGGGTTTTTCTTCCATTATTCCAGCGGCTTCGTATACAGATAGCTCTGATGATGAAACATCCCCCAGGGACAAGCAGCAGAAGAACTCCAAGGGAAGCAGTGACTTCTGTGTCAAGAACATCAAGCAGGCAGAGTTCGGGCGAAGAGAAATTGAAATTGCTGAACAAGGTAAAGAAAGCAGGCATCTTTTTCTTCTCTACTTGGCCTGAGTCTTTTTGTCTATGTTAATCCCTTTATATGTCCTGGGTCTGGTAGCTGGTGAAATTTCAGTGTGACACTGAAGAATGCTTGTAACAGAAGAGTCTGAGCTCAGGAAGCACTGTAAGGAAATGAAGTCTGGTGGTCTAGACTTCCGAAGCAGGACAGGCACGTAGAGTGTCAGAACTCAAGCATTTGCCTCAGAAAGCCTCCTAATAAAAGAAAATTCAGGTTTATTGTCTTTATCCCTTGAGAAACCTAATCCAACAGAGAAGGATCTTAACCAAGGAGAGTACATTTTTCTATTTATTCCTTTATCTCAGATTCCTTCCCTTCTAACTCGTTATGTTTGTATTGGGCCTTTTCAGAAATGCCTGCCCTGATGGCTCTGAGGAAGAGAGCTCAAGGAGAAAAGCCTTTGGCCGGAGCCAAAATTGTGGGTTGTACACACATCACTGCTCAGACCGCCGTGAGTCCTTTTTCTTTGTCCCCTTAATAACAATAGTTAATAATTGCCCCCAGATATCGAGTGCACATAGCATGCCAGCACTCAGTTAATGGCTGAAGAAGTATTAGTTCGTTAATCCTCGAAATGCCATGTAAAGCAAGTAGTTCTCTTTCCGTTTTGTAAGTGAGAAAGCTAAGGTTCAGAGAGCTTAAGTAATTGGTCCAAGGTTCCACAGCCAGATGTCACAATGAGGATCTGAATACCAATATACAAACGTAAGCACACATGTGCTTTCCTCATGTCTGCTGACCTTCCCCTGCAGTGCCACTTCCACAGGCAACCTCATACAGTAAGCTGCTCTCAGCTGCAAATAAGAGAAAAACCCACCTCCACCTGACTCACACATGAAGGAATGTAGTACGTTACACAGCTAAAAGCGCAGCAGAAAGGCAGGCTTTAGGTGCGGTTTCTCAGGGCTCCCATTTCCCCTCTCTGTGACTTCTTGGAGCTGCTTCCTTAGTGTGCGTACCTCATCCTCAAGCCGAGAGTAAGACTGTTGCAGCTGCTGTGGTTATCACAAACGGACATGGAAAGGGTATACCATTTCTTCCTCTCTCCCAAGAGTGAGGAAACCTTTCCCATGTGTCTCCAGCACAATCTTCCATGTTTCATTCAGCAGAATCGGATCACATGCCCATACTCCACCATTGCTGGCAAGAAGACAGACATAATTTTTAAACTAGTGATCCCTATCCTTAACAGATTTACCATCTCCTTTTTATTAAAAAAAAAAAAAAAAAAGTACTTTCAGCATTCCTGAAATAATGGAATTGAGACATAACATACCTAGATACATGTAATTTTGTGTGTGGTGGTGGTGGTACTGGAGGTTGGACCCAGGGCCTTTACACTGAGTTACATCTCTTGCTCTTTCTTTTATATTGAGACAGCATCTCAGATAAGCCCCTCAATTGCTGTATAAACATCCTGGCTCAGTCTCCCACAGTGCTAGGGCTACAAGTATAGCCCTGGCTACATGTAATTTTCAAAAAATAAACATAAAATCTTAACTGAAATATGAAGGAGGAATAAAAGGAAAGTAATGTATAAAAAAATTTCAGTATGTAAATGCTTGGGCACAACTGTAGTAGACTAGTAAAATGCTTGTCTTTACAGCATGAATGAAAATGCTGTAAAGTGCAAATAAATGTGTTATTAATTCCAGAGCATCAGAGCAGCATTACCAAAGTACATGATTTTTTTGAAAATAGTAAATGACTCTTAATAATTAACTTCTGAATAGCAACCACAATGAAGAGTATGAGTTTTCTCTTGATTTATACAATTACTATATTCCTGGAAAAACTTTATTTTGTATTTTTTTTTTAAACTGTAAAAATAATTTTATGTGCGAGGTAGAATTAGATGTTAAACTCAGATAATTATACATTTTTCATCCATGTGAACACCATTGGGACATTAGAAAATTACAGCAAATTGGCATAGTTTTTTTTGTTGCAAGTAGCTATACTATATTTTCAGAATATCCAGATCCCTGGCCTTGCCCACTAAGTGACAGTAGCAGCCCCCCTATCATTATGATAACCAAAAATGTCACCCACAGTGCTCCAGATTTCACCCCAGTACTAGTGACTGAACCTTAGCACTGAGCTACATCCCCAGTCCTTCTTGAGACCGGGCCACACTCAGTTGCTAAGTTGCCTGTGCTGGGCTGGAACATGTGAGCCTCCTGCTTAGCCTCCCAGAGTGCTGACTTTACAGATGTGCACCCCCTAAATCTTTTTTTGAGTCATCATCAACGATGTGATATTGATTTGCTTGACATATCGAGACCACTGTAGGGAAACTGGTGTGTTGAAAAATGGTCTGAAATCTTGTATAGGATTTGTAAGATCTGAGTCATCTGTATGGCTGGATCAGCTCTTCAGAAGATTGTCTCTCCTGAATCACACATTATGTGGTCACACTCCTGATTAAGGACAGTAGAGATTCCTGAAGACACAGATAGCTTCTGTTATTACTCTGAGATTTTGAGGGGGTTATATGTTCTCTGATGCAAAAAGTACCTAGACTGCCCAAAATTAATATAACAAATTGAAAAGCTGTTTTTTTTTCTGGAGCTACAGACTAATGAATCAAAGTACAAACACTCTTGAAACCTTGTTGGGGCCTCCTCAGTCAGGGGTATGAGACTTGAGTGTGGTGGCTTAAAATAGTAAGTGCTTTTCTGCCGTCTTGTGTTGCCGAGTTATATCTAGTTTGTTTTTACCCTAGGCTCATTGAACATTTCCACCCTTCAGGTCTCTCCCTCTGTTTTTTTTCTGAATGAATTAACCACTATCCAGTTTACTGTTTCTACCCTACGCTTTTTCCTTAAAAAAAATTACAAAAGTGTTTTGCTTTCTTATTTTTTTTAGTCTCTAGTTTTTGTTTACATGTTAATATTCTTTTAAAATATTCAAACATCACCACTACATATAAGGTAGAAAGTTAAAGTCTCTTATAATCCTGTGCTCTAGAAATAACTGTTATAATTAATAGTTTCCTGTCCATGTTTCTAATAAATATGAATTTATATATTTTAGATGTATTACAATACTTATAATCTGATTCAATTGCTGCTCCTGCAAAATGATTATTTGAAGTCAAGTTAAACTAGCTTCTGAGCTCTATCCTCTCCTGCCTACCTTTACTGGTTTATTTGTTTCTTTGTTTGTTTGCTGTCTTTTTGAGATAGGGTCTCACTATGCAGTTCAGGCTGGCCTTGAGCTCACTTTGTAGCCCAGGCTGGTCTCAAACTTGCAACGATCCTCCTGCCTCAGCCTTCCAAGTGCTGGGATTACAGGCTTCACTGGTTTTTGAGCCCTAACAGCCACCAGTCTTCACACACAGCTTTCTGGTTTTTGTTTTTTGGTTGGTTTGTTTACAGTATTGGGAATTGAACACGGGGTCTTCACACTAAGCTACATATCCAGCCCTTTTTAAAATTACTTTTTTAAATTTTGAGGCAGGGTCCTATTAAGTCACTCAGTTGCCCAGGCTGGGTTCAAACTTGTGGTCCTCCTGCTTCAGCCACCCAGAGTACTAGTTACAGGTATGCACCCCCAAGCTTGGCTTTGACTCACAATATTCTTAGTTCCATCACTTTTCTTTCTATTGTATTTATATTGCTTTATATGTATCTTCATATTATTCTTTTTTTTGAAAAATGCAAAAGTCCTAGTTGTGGGGATTCAGAAATTGCTTTTATTTTTTTGTTTTTGTTTTTTGAGATGGTCCAGGCTGGCCTTGAACTTGTGGTGATATCACCCTCCTGGCTTAGCCTCCCAAATGAGGGGCAAGGAATTCAAAAATTCTTTAAAGCGAAAAAATAAAGCAAGAGGGTAAAAATGAGATAAAACATTCAACATTAATGGGAACTAGAAAGTAAAACATAGGAATAGTTTTTCTGGTAACTGACTATGTGGCCTTAGGAAAATTAAGTCAGTTGTGAGCAGGTTTTTTTAAAAATTAGAACATGTTTTAATGAGATTTTTATTTAGAAATTTTAGAAAATACAAGTTTTACTAGAGAAAACATTTCTAAAATTCATTTGGAACGAGAAGAGACTTAGAATAACAAAAGCAATTCTGGGCAACAAAGGCAAGTCAGAGGGCATCACAGTCACTGACCTAAAATTATACTACAAAGCTACTATGATAAAATCAACATGGTATTGGCAATGAAGAAAAAAAAAAAAAAAAACAGGCCTGAGGATCAGTGGAACAGAATAGAAGATGCAGGCACAACTCCAGACACACTTAGCCACCTTATCTTTGACAAAAGAGCCAAACCTGTTCACGGGCAAAAAGATAGTCTGTTTAATAAATGGTGCTGGAAAAACTGGCTTTCCACATGCCAAAGATTAAAATTAGGCCCATGTCTGTCACCATGAACTAAACTAAAATCAAAATGGATCAAAGATCTAAATATTAAAACAGAAACACTAAATTTACTTGAAGAGCAAATAGGTGGAAATCTTGAAGACATACGTGTAGGCAGAGACTTCAGGAACGAAACCCAAACCAAATGGGAAATACTACAAAGAATCAACAGATAGGATCTCATCTTATTGAAAACTTTTGCACAATAAAGAAATCACCAATAGAGTGAAAAAACAACCCACAGAGTGGGAAAAAATTCTAGCCAGTTGTCCCTCAGACAAAGGACTTGCTAGAACATATAAAGAATTGAAAAAAATCAGGTCCCCAAAATTCAAAGACCTAATCCAGAAATGGGCATCTGAGGTGATTACACACTACTCAGATGAAGAAATACAAACAGCAAATAAATACATGAAAAAAATATTCAACATCATTGGTCATTCAAGAGATGCAAATTAAAACCACACTGAGATTTCATCTCACTCCAGAAAGAAGGGCTGTCATCAAGAAATCAACCAATAACAAATGCTGGAGGGGCTGTGGGGAAAAAGGAACCCTTCTTCACGGTTGGTGGGAGTGTAGACTGGTGCAACCACTGTTGAACTCATTGTGGAGATTCCTTTAAAAACTAGGATTAAGGCCAGGCATGGTGGCTCATGGCTGTAATCCCAGCACTGGGGAGGCAGAGGCAGGAGGATTGTTGAGAGTTCGAGACCAGCCTGGGCTACAAAGTGAGCTCAAGGTCAGCCTGAACTGCATAGTGAGACTCTGTCTCAAAAAGAACAAAAATAAAATAAAATAAA